AAAAAAAAAGACACAAAAGAAGGGAGTGCTGAGAGTCAAACAAAGGTAGAGTTTATGGGAAAGTGTATAGGGGGGAGGGGACAGGCACAAGGAATAGGAAGTCAGGCTTTGAGCAAGCCCTTTCATGTTGCAGGGACCTGCTCTACCTGCCCTTCATGTGACCGCAGCCCTGCCTGCCCACTGCAGGAGGAACACAGCATGGCAAGAAGGGATCTTCTGGTTGGGATGTTCCTGCAGAGCCAATGCACCTGGCATTGAGCATGTCAGTTGGCCACAGCCTTGCTGAAGGCATATGTGTGTGTGGCAGGTGGCTCTGGAGAGGAAACAAATGTTTATAGGTGATGTTGCCTACCAGGCTTAGGAAGCTGGCTGTGGGATGGTGACAGAAGACAGTTCAGTCATTTCTGACCTACAGGTACATCTGGTTGCTGAAAGAGACCAGGCATATTCACAAGTATCCTCACAGCTTATCCTCCATTCCCCTCTTTATAGAAAGGAACAACCCCAAAACCCATAGCATCTGCCTTTCTCCAGCCCTGCAGAGCACAAGTACATGGCCAAGCTCTGAGCTCAGTGACAAGAGCCAACACTCAACAGAAAACAAGCACTTGGGCTTCTCTATTTCAGAGCAGAAGCAGCAGACTCCAAAGGCAACTACAAGCTGAGTTTAACCATTCTGTGTTTCATTAGAATCACCAAGGTTGGAAAAGACCTCTAATATCATCCACCGTCCACCTATCATGAATATCTCCCACTGAACCATGTCCCTCAGAACAACATCTAAATGTTTCTTGAACACCTCCACCAACAAAGCCATCCCAGGAGGGAAAGTCATTATGAGCTCTACAGTAGAAAAGGCATTGCTTGGAAGGAGCCTGGTGGGACAGTGACCTCCAGGGAAGGACAAGCATCCTGTACTCCCCACTGTCCTCTTTTCCCAGTTACTGCTCCTGAGTCAAGGTCTGAAGGTACACCCAGCTGGGCAGTCCTCATCCCGACAACTCAAGTCAGCTGTGCAAGATAGGCAGCTCCTTTTGCCCTAAATACAGACCCTGCTTGAGCCCTTACCCCATGCTGTCCCATCCAGCTGCCTTCTGCCTGCAGCAGGCCTGGCTGCAAGGCAGAACCTACAGATTTATGTGTGTTGTTCACCACCACTGCTCCCTAGCTCCTTCCTCCCAGCCTGCTTGCAGGGAGCTGTAAGAAGAGTTTCCAGCCCACAGTCAGTTAATCACCCACAATTAGCATAAACCCAATGCAACAGCAGGGGAATAAATGAAAGCTGGGAAAGCCCCCTCTTCCCAGCAGTGGGATGAGGCAATTTACAGAGGGCCCGGAGGTGCGGGAAAGAAGAGCCTTTCATGAGGTTGCAGGTCCATGTGAAATGCTGGGCGAGGGCAGTCCAGGGCAGCACTCCCTCAGCCCCAGCTGGGTTAGCCACCCAAAAGACACCGTGGTTTCTGTTTCTGCAGGAGCCCAAAAAGTCTCCTTCTGCTATCCTGTGCTCAGCCAGCGCCCCAGGAGCTGGCACAAGGAGTGGCACTAGCGGGAAACACATCCCTGACAAGTGGAAGGCATTCTGCCAGTATGTTGGGGGGAATTCTAGCAGAAAGAAAGCAGGGGATTACCCCTTTGTTCAGCTCTCTCAGAGCCGCTTCTTCCATCAGCGGCCTTGTGGGGAAAGAAGGGCGTAGAGGTGAAAAATACCTATGAAAACAAATAGGTATTTTTTCAGTGCTTGGGCTTCTGTCTGGACCTCACCTTGCTGCCCCAGGGTTGGCCAACAGAGGAAGTTTCCCTCTGTTAGCATTCAAAAGGCAGCATCTGGCTTCACAGGTGGTGTGCAAGCTTACTAATTTTCCTGGTGGCCAGGTGTCAAGGGGTTTACAGCCTTGTGTGCCTCATAGTGCAACAGGAATGCACCAGAAAAGGAAGAAGATAAATTTTTGTTGGCTGTGAACATGCATGTATAAATTGGTGGGAAAAATGATATTGGGCACATGTGTTGTGCCAGCTCTTCCCTCTATCTGCAGGCCCATTCTCTGAGCAGATCCTGTCTCCAATTCATCTCAGCAGGTGAACACGGAGATGAGGGAAAGGAGCACGGAAATGGTATGGCTGAGCAGCAGGGGTGGTGACGGACAGTCAGCAGAAGGCATGGCAGGGAAGAGGCAGTTCTTGGGCACGTTTGTTGTGCATTCAAAACAGATTAACTCGGGCTTTAGGGAAAGGTAGAAAGACCTCCCCCTTTCCCAAAATACCAGGGCAAGAAGGAAAGGAAGGTTTGTTGACAGGGTGTAATTCTACATAGTGAGCAGGGATAGTTTCTAAATATGAAAGAGAACCAGTTCAAACTGGTTTAACAGAAACTTTGTGCACCAAAAACCTCTAGTGAGGGCATTAGAACAGCAGCTGTGCATAGAATCATAGAATGGTTTGGGTTGGAAGGGACCCCAAGCATCATCAAGTTCCAACTCCACTGCCGCAGGCAGGACCACCAATCTCCAGATCTGGTTCTAGAGCAGGCTGCCCAGGGCCCCATCCAACCTGGTCTTGAACACTTCCAGGTCCTCAGCAGCAGCTCCAACTGCACAGCCACAAGGTCCTGCTACAACCCTGGCGCTTCCAGGTGTCTGCCCTAATGCAAAGGTCAGAAATGCTCCCCCCACCCCCTAATACAGATTTGCAGCTGCTTCCAAGACAGAGAAAAATATATACCAATATATACCAGAGTATATGGTGAGTGCTGGAAGGTGTGGCTGCCAACTTCTGACAAACCCAAGAAGAAGACCCAATGTGTGGAGGACCCACAAGAAGCTTGGAGACCTGCAGTCATTTTTCTGCTCTCTGCTACCTCCTAGTTGGCTATGATGCTTGGAGCCTGGCTGGGGCATGGTAACATGGATCATAATGGATGGGGAGGAAGGGAACAAGATCCCACAGCTTGATGGTCATGGCCTCTCACACCAAAGTGTCCAGTGTCAGCAGCACAAGATGTCCCCACTGGTTTGATATTTCAGTGTCTAAGGCAGCACTGGTGGGACATAAGGAAATTGCTGCTCCTCCTTGTGGACACCTCAGGGGGGCTGGAAAGCCACTTTGGGAACCTGCTCTGGCTGAACAACACCCAAATGAATAAAAAACCACATCAGTGCAACTGGCAGACTGCAGTGGAGGCACAGGGAGCAGAGCTTGGACCCGGGTGCAGCTGGAGAAGGGATGAATGGCTCCCACCATGCCTACATGAGAGGGACACTGTGTAAAGAAGAGTTTCTGGCTGGGGGAGTCCTGGCAGATCAAATTCTTGAGCCAGTACAGTCAGCACTCTATTAGAGAACAGCTGCAAATATTTTTTGATAATCTTGAAGCACGCAGCATGTGGTCAGGTGTGTCAGAGGAGAACAAAGACACAATATACCTCATCTACGCTGAGATGTGTGGAAATTTCCCCTCTTTTTGCTAGAGTGCCTGGCTGGCTCCACCAGAGCCCTGAGTCTCTGCAGCCCAAGTCACCGGCTAGCTGCCATCTCCTACAGCCTCTCATGCAGGCAGGCTCTGGCAATGTGATAAACACAGTAATTAACCACTGGGCCTGGCCTTTGCCAGAAATCGTGGAGAGCTGTTACAGGAACCAATGGCAAGTTTCAAAATTCGTGATGCAGCTTCAGATGAGGACATTTTGGAGTGGTGGTCACTGATAAAGGGCTACAGTAACTCTGCAACACCTCACATGGCACCTTGCTTTGGAAACAGACATCTCCTTCTGACACTGATCAGCCAACCTGCCTTGCAAAAAAGCACCTCCTAACCTTTTACACTCCGTGTTACAGGACAGAGTGGATCAGCTATAATTTCTCTTAAATAGATGTTATCATTGCTGGCTCTATTTCCCAGCAACTGTAAATTATTAGAGAACACATGGTTCTGTGTTTGAAGACAATTGAGAGTATTTCCAATTTCTCTCTCCATTTCATCAAGGAAAATAAGAGTGCCTGGAAAGGTTCATAGCCCATTTCCCACACAGGCACTGCTTTAGCAAGCAGTGTTTGCTTCCTAAATTCTGGAATAGCCACTTCAATAGGCACTTCAAATCTGCATCTGATCTAATTCTAGAAGAATGTCTTCAAACAGGACAAGTATTGCAGACACAGGCTCTGACTGATGCCGCTGCCTTGCACAGACAGCCCCAGATCAGTTTGTGTACCCCCTTATTTAATGATTGCTGGGGGTTCACTTACTCATTCAAACCCCAGGAGGCTGTTACCCAAATGTGGAAGCAAAGAAAAGAAAAGGGCAGAGCAATGGGGCTTTGAAGCTGTAGAGCTCTTCCTCAGTTGGGAGCCATGTTTAAGAGCTTAGGGCATATGTTTGTAGAGCAAGCCTTCTTGTTCCCAGTGCTTCTAGTAAGGGGGAGAAATGGCCTTCTTTTTACATTCTTTTTACATTTCTTTTTGCATTCTGCAGAGCAGGAAGACAGGCCCACTCCTCTTTTTGCCTGGGCTGGGAGCTCTCTTGATAACCTGAACAAACTGTTTGACCTCAAAGCCAAAACGATTTTTTCCTCAAGCAATAAATTAGCACAGGGAGCTGGAGCAACTGATAAGAAAGCAGCACATCACCGTGGCCTCTATGCAGGAGACAATATTCCTGTCTGCCAGGCAGGGCCATCCCCTGTGGTGCCGGGGCAGCTGCAGTGTTTACAGAGCCATTGTGCCACAGGGGAGCTGGAGACACCCGATATTTAACTGTGAGCTAATGCTTCCTGCCTCCAGTCCCACAGCCACACGGGGCTCCCCAGGGCCCGTTGGGATCAAGTCACTCTGAAGCTCAGGCAGTCAGTCCCAGGCCCTGGGACCCTCTGGGCAGCAGCACAGCAAAGCAGTTGCCATGGGGTGATATGGCTCTGCCCCGAAAAGCTCAAGGCAGAACATAGCTGCTTGTCTCTGGCTGCAGGCAGGGGGAGAGCCGGAGTTGCACGCTGTCAGGCAGAAGCAGGCAGCCAGGGCTCTGCTGGCAGCGGGGTGTGCAGGCAGGGTGACCCCACACGGTGCGACTTGGGCTTGCAGGGCTCGGGTGTGCAGCTCAGCAGTAACAGAGGCTCTGAGCTTCCCTGTGCCGTGTTGCAATGACTTCATGATGCCCCTCGTGCCCTCCATCGCAGCTTAAAATGCAATGATGTGCCTTAAATGAATGAGAATGTAATAACATAGCCTTCTCTCTTAGGGTATGTCAAGAGAGGCAGCCTTGGCTTCCAGCGTCCACCATGAGTTGCCCACTCCATGCCAGGATTGGTGACTCATCAGCAGGCCACAGTGTCTCCTGGGTGACCCTTCAGAGTGCACACAGGGCAGTGCGGGTGCCAGCAGCTGGACAGGACAGCAGGTGTGGGGGGGAGGGGGTGGTGTTGTTAGGGGAGAGGTAACAATGATAGCAAAGCACAGAGTGCAGCTAAGAAAACCTTCCTGTGAAGGGGAGCAGTGCTGGGGCATCCTGTGTTGCATGTTCAGTGAAGGCACATCCATCACCATTATCTTGTGCCTGAGCCATCGCCAGCCCAGAGATGCAGCTCGAGCAGGTTCTGTTTGAAGTGCAGTGTCTGCTCTTGGTTTCAGACCAGAACCAGTCTGACCAGCTGGAGCCCAGTTTCAGGTTACACCCTGCCTCATCTCTCTGAATTAGTGGGCAATGATCTCACTCTCAGCACTCCCAAGGAAGGACTGCTCTCTCTGGTTAACCCTACCTGCTGCATTCACCTGTTCGTGGTGTGCCCCCCCCTCTTCCCAAACCGCAGGACCTGGCTGCAGCAACACCTGCAGATGAAAGGGTGGGAGATAGCAGGCATGGGAACGGCACCTTCCCCTCCGCAGGTCATTGCTTCTCAGACATCACTCCCAAGTCAGATAAGATAACAATTCCCTTTTATTGCAACTTGTATTATCAGAGAGGGTGCACAAAAAGTAAATCAAGATGGTAAGTTTATTGCATAGGCTGGAAGAAAAACAGAGCAATGGAAGAAATGATACAAGATAGACCGTGAAAAGCCATGGAGGAATCAAACAAGCCCTCCTGCAACAGGGAGAGGCATGCAGCTGGATTGCCACCAGGCTGTGGGCAGCCATTTTCTCCCTTCCAGCCTTGAAAGGGTCCAAGAATTTAAACTAAAATCTGTACATAAATTTGTGCTTTCTTACACACACACACACACACACACACCCTGATTTCCTCTCTTTTCACAGCAGTTTTCCAGGAGCAGCAG